GTCAGGGACCAGAACTACAGGTGATGCTGTAGTACTGGTAGTGACTGGTATACCTTAGCTGTCTCATGGTGCCTTTATTCACCTAGTGACTGCTTCTTGGGGGAGACAAAGTGCGTCATTTGAGATGGAAAGAGAAGATGGTTGCTTGTTGTATTTAGCTTGTACAATGTGAGTTATCACGTGGAACTTATGTCAATCTGCAATGATGGTTTTAGCTGAAACTGTTGAAAGAACAGCTCACACAATATTTGTCCATATGGGATATGTTTGTAATCTTTTATCTCTGAACATAAAATTAAGGTTACTGACTGTTGAAAATTAGTACAATAAATTATTTTTCACAGTTTACTTGATCCATTTTATGGCGTGTAACTTCAGCAATGTTTATCATGGTTTGATCCCACAGGTGTGGGAAATTAACTTTGTGATAAGCCTTTTATTGTACTCTGTCTCCAGCAGATCTGGAATAATTGTATATTCAAATGAAGAAATGTGAAGTGCATTTATTAATTCTGCAGATGACTCTCAGCTGTACAATAGCAGGACTGGAATTCAAAATGATCTTTATAAATTAGAGAGGAGTGGAAGAAGTGGGTGTGGAGGTAAACAAAGCTCAGTACTGAGAACAGGTACAGGATGGGGAAGTGATTGCTAGGCAACAGTACTGCAGAAAAAGCAAACAGCCTGGGAATCATAAGTTGGAGTATTTTCTGTAAACAATAACAAGCACTAGAATTTGTCATTCAGCCCTAAAAGTCTATAGCCTTAAATACCCCCATCTGACACAGCAATTCAAGAAGAATGTGGATAGTTACTGTCATTATTTTCTCCAGCTGATCATAGCCATACTGTCAGGAAAGGCCAAAGGAGTTGAGGTGTTCTCTCCTACAAGAAGAAATATAAAAGTATAAATTGGAAATATTTTGAATATAAAAGGGACCTAAATTGAGTGATTTTGTTTGGTAGTATGACTTGTAAAAGCCAAAGGAATTGAAGTGCCCTTTCCTAGAAGAAAAAACACTAAGTGGAAATATAAATGATTTGACTACAAAAGGGGCCTGTGTAAATGTGTTGGTTGGTAAGGAGGAGTGGGCCTAAATGACAAACAGGTTGATCACTGGAAAAGCTAATAATTAAGCACTAGTGTTGCACTCAACCTTGTAAATGGGAAAAGAGGAAACACTTTACAGTAAAGTTTTGGCTTTATTATGAACTGAACAATTGAATATTCAGTTAAATAACCAAAATCTTTACAGTCTAATCCAGAAGTCATTATTAGTCCAGATCTAAGCATTACAAAAAAATAATACTTCTATACAGAAAAAAATCTCTATAGTGGTAATAATATAGTTAAATTTATCATACATGCACTTCATTTCTATCCCTTTTCCTGGTTTAACCTTCATAGCACTTCTGGTCCTAAGGTTGTTGGCCTTAGTCTGTGGCTAGCACATGCCATAGATGTGGTCTGTTTAAAAAGGTTCCTCTGTAGTTAAAAAGGTTTTGGAGGTGTCGCTTCTGTAAGTTTTGAACAGTTTGATTTTAATTGTTTTTTTCTGACAAAAATGATGCTTGTGCTTTTCTGTTACCAGCACAAACTCATTGTCCCTCTATGCATTTCTGCTCCTAATTTTGATGAGCAGATATGAGACAGAGAGACTTCTCAATGAAAACTTAACCAGACTTTTTTTGCTCAGTGTTTTCTGCTTGTCTTGATGTGATTAGGATCCTGTTGGTAATACCGCATTTGTCAGTTTTGTCAATTCCAGCTGCTGCTTTGGGTGTGGGTACGCAGGCTTATGGAGAAGCTTTCTGGGATCCTCACATGGCAGGGGATGGTTAGCAGTGTAGGTGTAACAGGGGAGCAATTTGGAAATGAGCTGCAGTGGAGTACTTGAATCTCTTCTTGGGAAATTCCTGGCTGGCTAAGAAAGATATAGATGAAGAAGGAGAGTTCTTTCTAGCAGATATTGGGACTACAGCTTTAAATTCATCATTTCTTATGAGTGTCTTCACTTAGGGAGTTGCTTAAGGATGAACTTTACAGCACCAATCCTCTTCTGCTATTTCTAGGCACCAAAGTTAAGGCACGTTTTCCAGCTACAGGGTATTGGGTTCTTCCCTTGAAGGGAAACCTGAAAGTTACCTCTTTTTCTGTTTCCTTCCAACTTGCAGGTATCTTTCTCAGGGAAGATAAAGATTAAACACAGCTACAAAAGCTTATTTTTCATTTTCTCGACAGGCTATTTTCAACTAAATTATTATTCCATATATATGGCATAAGTTTAAGATATTTAAGTTTACTTTAACATATTTAAGGAATATATTTAGTATTGTACCTTGAAGTGGTACTTTTTCATAATGTGACCATCTTTTTTTGCCTGTCCTTGTATATTTGAACCATCCCAAGAGCTGAGTAGGAGAATTTTTCAGAATTTTTGATATTCAGTGACATGAGTTGTGCCTGGACTTGCTTTGGAAAATTGTTTGCAAATCCACATCGGAAGCATGCCAAAGCTTGAGTAGGCACAAAGATGGGTGCATTTAACTGTTATTTTAATATTGTAATTATGAAAACAAGTGTTCTTTGTTTATAAAATTATGTAGATGTAAAATGGAAGTTAGGCTTAAGAATAGACTTAGAGCTGCTGACTCTACACAGTGGTAATATTTCAAAACAGTAATTGTGAGAATGTAAAGGCAGCTGTAAGCAAAGTTTTATAATACTGGTGTAATATTAAAAAAAAAAAAATCTCTTGCTGCAGTCTGATGGGCAATTACAGGCTTTTAAAAACAGGAGAGGGACTTCCTAAAATGCTTCACTGAAGCAAGGAGCTGTCATTAAACAAAGCCCCAACCTACCCCCACCCCTGCTGACAACAGTAACTAGACTTCCAAGGATATTGTTTTCTAGTATCTAAGTTCTCACCTGGTTATAGCCTCATCTAATACAGCAGCCCAAGGCTGCAAGGAAACTTTGTTGCTGTAACAGCATTCTAACTTCCAGCTGACCTGGTGGATGGGAGTGAGGCAATGTGAAGTATGTATCTTGATGTTGTGATAGTTTTCAGAAGTAAGTTAGAGAAATATGGTTCAGCTAAAACTTCTTGAAGATGGATATACAGCTGACTGAAGAACTACATTCATACAATAGTAATCACCATTTCTTTGGCCAAGCTAAAGGATCCTCGGAGGGGAGGTTTGAGCTAGTGCTATGAAGTGTTTACAAGTATAATGTGGGTGAGAAAAGCAGAATAAACTTAAAACACTTAAATGTAACATCAGTTTAGAAACTGTTTACATGGAAGACATTTTCCTGTATAATTTTTATTCTTATAATGGGAGAAATCAACAAGGTCTAATTAAGTAATGGTAAGTGCAAAAGGCTGCAGTTGGGAGGACAGATTAAATGCAAATACCAGCTTGGGAGTGCTTGTGTAAGCAGCTGTTCTCAATCTGGAGATTTTTGCATCGCTGAAGGTGGATCGGCAATATGGGGGTGATGTGAAAAACTCCAAATGCCATGGATGGCAGCGGTGATCAGTGTTTAGTTTGGGGAGGATGTAGACATCACCTCTAGAATAACTAGATAATTCTAAAAAAGGGGACAAGAACAAAACAGATTTGTAAGAGTTTAGTCTGGAAAAGAAAGGGTTTGAGAGTGAATAGAACAGTCTTCCTGGTAACAGTCTCTACAGTTTTGTAATATGTGTTTATGCAAATAGTGATTAATTGTTCTCCATGTTCACCAAGGCAGAGCTACACAATTTGCAGCAACATGAATTTACTTAAGAGATTTTTTTCAGTTAAGTAAACAGTTTGGCCTTATAACAAACAGCAGAATCACTTTTACTATAGGAGTTCAAAACAGTGTTGGAAAACATTAGTGATGAGGTAGACCTAATCCTGCTTTGGAGGCAGGAATTGGACTAGATGATACCTTGAGGTTTATTCTAGTATTATACTTACATGTTTTACATAAGAGGAGCCTATACAGAGAGTTTATATTCTCTCATCACACATGCATAACAAGTTCTTCAAATGACAGATACTTTATCCCTTCTTCTCTGGAATGTTCATTCTACTTCTAGAGTTGCCTATTCACATTTTACAAATCTGCCCTGTGGACCTGTCTTCCTCACCCCATTTTTTATCTTTGTCCTCAAAACAAACAAAGCCTGGTAACGGAATACTTCCCTCTTCCATCTGTATGCAACCCAGTACTTGGAAAAGGGACTGCAAGGACTTTATCAGCTGCAAGGGGTTGAGACTCTGTCTTGGTCCTGGTACTTCAGGGCTTGGGTCAGTCTTTTCTATGCTGGAGTTTGGCTGCGATAGAAACACAGGCAACGCAAAATTATGTTACACCACCTTGAGCTTTCTGTAACAGACACCAAACTGCTTGCTCTTTAGTCATAGAAATGTAAACTTGGATATGGAAAATAAAGATGGACATAAGGGCCAGCCATCAGCTATTAAGTGTTAGGAGAGAGGGGGAGTAATTTATTTGTTTAGAAGAGATGAAAAGTGTGGTAGCATTTAAATCTTAGAGACAGGCTCAGTGCAAGCTGTTCTGTCTCCTCCACCTTAGCTTGGACAGAGGGCTGCGTCTTGACCCAGGCCACCTGAGCGCGGGTGGGGCTGGCTGTGGTATTTTACACGCCCCTAACAGGTCAGGGGAGCCCCGAAAAGAGGGGGCACGGCATTTCGGACGACGGGGTGAAACTACGGATTTTTTTTTTTTTTTTTTTTTTTTTTTTTTTTTCCCTGGGAAATGTCACAGATTCCCGCCTGCGCAGCCGGCGTGTGCCGCCTTTCGCGCCTTCCCCCCCCGCCTGACCCGCGGGCCGCAGGCTCCCGGGGGCAAGAAGGCAGAGCTGTTCCTTCCCGCACCCCCCCCCCCCTTCCCCTTCCCGAGGTGGGCAGGCGCCGTGCGGGGCAGCGCGCCCCCTCCCCGCTGGCGGCGGCGGCCCGGGCCGCCTCCCCGCGCTCCGCGGGGCTCCGCCGCCATCGGGCAGCGAGCGCGGGAGGCCGGGCCGCCGCCGCGGCCATGGCGACGGACGGTGAGTGCGGGCGGGGGCGGCCTCCCCGGGGGAGGGGGCTCAGGCACCGGCTGCCGGCCGCGCCCGGCGCTGAGGGCGAGGGGCTGAGGGTGACGGGGGGGGGTGGGGGTGAAACCGGGCCCTGCCCCTGCGAGCGGCGGGGAGCGGGGGCCGGGTGGGCGGGAAAAGGGGCTCGGCGGGGTGTCTGCCCTTCGCCCTAGGGGGGCCCGGCTGCCCCCCCCCCCCCATCGCTCCTCCGGGGTCGCACGGGGGATGCTGGTGCTGGGTGTGCCCCTCCGCACGGGGAGAGAGGGGCAGGTGCACGCGGACGCGAATTTTAGGGGGAATAAAGGGATAGGAAAGCCTGCTCTTAAGATATTAACGAAGAGCGGGTGTTCTCGTAATTATGGGAGACTTGTCTGCGTCTGAGAGACTTGGAGTCGCTGGGTTTTCTGGCCACGCTACAATACAAATGATTTTAGGGGTGATCGCTTTCTGTGTTTTGATTGATCAGGTTGTTGCCCGATGACACGTACCACCCCGTCTTAGGTCTTGGCCGCGGTAGTGGTGCTGCTGCACGGAGGGCAGGTATTTATTTCTCTTGATATTTCAGATCACAGCGGCAGTGGGTTAAAACCTTAATTGCTACTGTTAGCCACAGTCATGGCAGGCTCCTCCAGATTTACTATAGAAACACCAACATCAACGCTTATTGAAGATTGCTGGGTTGATTTTGCTACATCTTTTGCCAGTTTGGTGGAAATTAATCACGTGAACCTTCAAGAGATGTCAGGATGGCACATAGTTTATAATCCCTCAGGAACAAAATTCTAGGTTTGAGCTTTTCAAAAAGGTTGGACTTAATGGGACTCTAACTTCTCTTTTCCTTTCGTCATTTGCTGATGTTCACTTGTGTTTGCTGACATAGTTTTCTTTCAAGGCTGTGTCCCTAAGGAGGGGTCTTCTCAGGCAAGGCCCAGGCTGATGTGATGTGGAGTTGTTCAGTGCTTCAAGGTGGCCTTAGGAGAACTAAGAACTGATCTTGTTTTTCAGAGTAGTAGTGCACTTTTACCTAGCAGAATCTGTCCTTTTATTAGTTACATCCTCAAAGCAGAGATCCACAGGCAGTGATAGTGCTCAGTACATAACTGAATTATCATTAGTTTATATTTTATAGCATTTTACAAATTAATATAAATATTGTGGGTTGGCTTCTCACCTCTGTTCCTGCTGCACAAATATGAACTGGCTAATTGTACAATATTTAATTAATTAGACGTTCTTCTGACCCAAAAGTCAGCAGAGCTATTGCTTTGTTCCTTAAACAAAACCAGCTCTGTCTCCTCCAAATACTTACGGGAGTTATCTATTGTTTAATGTACCTCTTCTTCTCAGTCTTTGGGCTGAGGTAGTCGGTGAGCACCTGGTTAAGATGTGGGGACAGCTGAGCTCCTACCACTCCAACCCTGTGCTCTTGGTTTTGGGTGTATGGGGCACTTGGATCAGGCGTGTGGACAGGCTCTCCCAGCCTGGGATTACTGCAGGAGTGAGAAGAGCACCGAGTAAGACTTCATTTCGTAGGTTGTAGCTTTTGAGATCAGACCTGATCACCCACAATGTTGGTGTTCTTTCAAGTCAAGGAGAATTCAAGGAATATTTTTCTAGAATTTTAACTTAGTTACATTATGTTCTTTTTTCTCTTATTGTGAGGAGATTGAACTAAGGACATTGAGCAAACAGCATGTTAAGCAGTTACTTACGGTGGTGTAAATTGATTCCTCATAAGCCTAACAAATACGAGGGATGGAATTCACCATGAAGTATGATCAGTGCATTGGTCACTGCAATGGTGGAATGTGGATACAGTGATTTCAGCGTAAGAAGGCAGCCTGGAGATGTATGCATTGTCTTACGGTTCAGCTGCTGAAGCTTTGGTGTGGATCATCATCTTCCAACCTACTTTTAGTTGAGTTTTTCTTGAGAAAGTTGGAAATGTTTGTGCTTCGTTGATTGATGTTCCTTGTGGTTCCTTCCATGTGTTGCTGTCCTGGGGCTGCCACTGCTTCTGACTGGAGCCGCAGTGAGACCCAAGCTAATAAACCCTGCTAAACTCATCTGACTTAGTCCAGAGCCACTGGAGTATCTTGCACTGCCTATTGTTTTGTGTGCCAGTCCAGATTTGACAAACTTATTTTTTTCTGCCCTGCTCTATGTCTCAGCCTTAGTTGTCTTGTGGAGCTGAGATACTTGCTCTGGGGTGTCCTGCTTTCAAGGCTACCTATGTGTTTTTCATTCATCAGGTTACTGGGTGGCTTGCAGTATCTAATCTTGGTAAGCACATCTGACAGTTAATTTATTAACATATTTTATTATTATTAACATGTAGTAATTTGTTTCAAAATTACTAAATGTTTTGATTGAGAAATAATGACCTGAAGTAAAAAAGACTGGAGGGAAGCCTAACATTACAGTGAGTAAGCTGGCATTCCTTGGACTTGGTGTACTTGTATTAAATTCTACTCAGCTATAAACTATCATTTTTATTGAAGTGGGCAAGTCTATATTGTCATGTTTTAGCTTTCTATACAACAGACAGCTCAGCAGATGCCAACCCTGCCTGTACTTGCGTGGAGCAGTGGCATCATTGGCAGAACTCGGGGTGGTTCTTGATTGGGGAGCTTTGTGAGGAGCAGGTAGTGTTGACTTCTGTCCTTGTATCAGAGCTGTTCCTCAGAGAAGGGAGTAATAGGCAGAGGGTCTCTCTTCCTCTGTGATTCTGGGCTGCCAGAAGCGGTGGTGGTGATGACTCGAGATGATCAGAGATTCTTGTTACAACAGTCTGCTCTGATTTTTATTGTTAAATAATTCATTGCTCTTGCTGGCTGAAGGATCAGAAGTGAGGGAAGTTTGGTCTCCAGTACCTTTGGCTTCAACCCAATTTGAAATGAGTACAGGTTGGACGCAGTTCAGGTCAGCGCTGAAGGGAACTGTGGATTGTTTGAATGCACTTCTAATGGTATTAAAGGCACAGGAGCAGGCTGTCCCCATGTGCTGAAAGATGAGATGGTGGAGAAGACTGGCCTGGCTGAACAGAGAGCTTTGTCTGGAACTCAGGAAAGAAAAGGAGAGTTTATGACTTTTGGAAGAAGGTCAGGCAACTCAGGAGAACTGCAAGGATGTCATGAGGTTATGCAAGGAGAAAATTAGAAGGGCCAAAGCCCAACTAGAAATAAATCTGGCTACTGTCATAAAAGACTATTAAAAATGTTTCTGTAAATACATTAACAACAAAAGGAGGACTAAGGAGAATCTCCATCCTTTATTGGATGCAGGGGGAAATATAGTGACAAAAGATGAGGAAAAGGCTGTGGATGCCTTCTTTGTCTCAATCTTTAATAGTAAGACCAGTTGTTCTGTGGGTACCCAGCCCCCTGAGCTGGAAAAGAGGGACAGGGCAGAATGAATCCCCCATAATCCAAGGCGAAACAGTTAATGACCTGCTATACCACTCAGTCACACACAAGTCTATGGGGTTGGATGGGATCCAACCAAGGGTACTGAGGGAGCTGGTGGAGGTGCTCACAAAGCCCCTTTATCAGCAGCCCTGGCTAACCAGGGAGATCCCAGTTGACTGGAGGTTAGCAAATGTGGTGCCCATCTACAAGGAGAGCCAGAAAGAGGATCCGGAGAACTACAAGCCTGTCAGCCTGACCCCAGTGCTGGGGAAGGTTATGGAGCAGGTCATCTTGAGTGCCATCACATGGCACATACAGGACAACCAGGCAGTCAGGCCAGTCAGCATGGGTTTATGAAAGGCAGGTCCTGCTTGACTAACCTGATCTCTGTGACAAGGTGACCTGCTTAGTAGATGAAGGAAAGGCTGTGGATGTTGTCTACCTAGACTTTCATAAAGTCTTTGACACCGTTTCCCACAACATTCTCCTAGAGAAACCAGCTGCTCATGGCTGGGATGGATGTACTCTTCACTAGGTAAAAAGCTGGCTGGATGGCCAGGCCCAAAGAGTGGTGGTGAGTGGAGTTAAATCCAGTTGGTGTCTGGTCACGAGTGGTGACCCCCAGGGCCCAGTACTGGGGGCAGTTCTGTTTAGTATCTTCATCAGTGATCTGACGAGGGGATCGAGTGCACCCTCAGTAAGTTGGACGATAACACCAATTTGGGCATGAGCGTTGATCTGCTGGAGGACAGGAAGGTTCTACAGAGGGCTCTGGACAGGCTGGATCGATGGGCCAAGGGCAATTGTATGAGGTTCAACAAGGCTCAGTGCCGGGTCCTGCACTTGGGTCACAACAACCCCATGCACCGCTGCAGGCTGGGGGCAGAGCGGCTGGAAAGCTGCCCGGCAGAAAAGGACCTGGGGGTGCTGGTCAACAGCTGGCTGAATATGAGCCAGCGGTGTGCCCAGGTGGCCAAGGTGGCCAACGGCATCCTGGCTTGTGTCAGCAATAGTGTGACCAGCAGGACTAGGGAAGAGATTGTCCCCCCGTACTCAGCACTGGTGAGGCTGCACCTCAAATACAGTGATTGGTTTGGGGCCCCTCACTACAAGAAAGACACTGAGGTTCTGGAGCGTGTCCAGAGAAGGGTAACAAAGCTGGTGAAGGGTCTGGGGCACAAGTCTTATGAGGAGCAGCTGAAGGAACTGGGGTTGTTTAGTTTGGGAGAAAAGGAGGCTCAGGGGAGACCTTATCCCTCTCTACAACTACCAGGAAGGAGGTGGGGGTTGATCTCTTTTCCCAAGTAAGAAGTGATAAGGTGAGAGGAAATGACCTAAAGTTGCCCCAGGGGAGAGTTAGATTGGATGTTAGGACAAATTTCTTCACTGAAAGGGCTGTCAAGCATTGGATCAGGCTGCCCAGGGAAGTGGTTGAGTCACCACCCTGGAGGTATTTAAAAGACCTGTGGATGGGCACTTAGGGACATGGTTTAGTGGGACTTGACAGGGTTAGGGTAACAGTTGGACTTGATCTTAAAGATCTTTTCCAATGTAAATGATTCTGTG